CAAGTTTAATTATCAGGTCAAGAATAATAGTAAACTATTTCCACATTCAAATCCAAATGAAGTCCACAAGATAGCAGGGACACATTTAGATTAAATAGAATCTTTAATCTATTTAAACCAAATAATAGAATCGCAAGTCGGCTTAGCAAGAATCCTTCTCTTTCAGCATGTTTTGGCAAATGCCCATGCTTTTTCAGCATGTTTAAGAGAAGAAAGGACGGAAAATAATTCAGAGTTACTGTGTATTTGTAACTCAGGAATAAAGGAATAATAATTTATATAAAGAGTGAAGAGTCCAACCTATTGTACTCCTCAAGCCAACTCTCCTCATCATGTACGGCTCCATTTCTCAACGTTTTTAAGGCTTTCTTTCCGACTGAATGCCTCTTCCTTGACTTCAGATATTTGGAGCTCAATTTGTTCAAGCACAAAAGAGACATCAAAATTCCTCACATTTAACCATAAGAATAAAAATCAGAAAAAAAAAAACTGAAAAAAAAAAGAATGACAATATCAACAGCATCTATAGCTATGTCAATAGAACCATCAGGTACTGGAATTAAACATGTTTTCCTACAAAAATCTTCGAGCTCGGGCTTCTTCAAAACAAGATAGTTCATCTTGCTTATTTTCAACTCCTCCAATCGATAAACTCCAGCCTTGGCATGAGAGATAAATGTTGCATGGACTTCTAATCACAAAATGGAAGGAAGGTGTGGAATAAAAACAATACAATTTATTATGCCCCTAAAGAAAAATCGTGGCTCGCATAATTAATAAAAGCAGCAGAAAGCTGTCGGGCTCTGTTGTCTCATCTTCGGGATCAGCCATGTTAAAAAATTATTATGCCCCTAAAGAAAAATCTTGGCTCACATAATTAATAAAATCAGCAGAAAGCTGTTGGGCACTGTTGTCTCATCTTCGGGAGCAGCCATGTTACATGTAACCTGCTGAAAGTCTGAAACATTTGTTGCTCTTCGGTTGCTGTGACCATCAATCCCCAGAGCTCCAGTAATGAACCATCTAGATCTTGTAACTAACCAACAATGAGTAATAAGAAAACTATTATTTAACAGAACATATCCCCTAAGTAACAAAGCCGACAAAATATATGGCATACATGCTGCATTCTCTGTATTTTAACATCTCTGAGGTTATGTATAGTGGACCCCAATTTCCGTCATCGGAAGTTGGTTTAAGTCATTCGGTTTTTGTAGTCTTAAATGGTTTCTCTTCAATTTATTTCTTTTCTCTGCAATTTTAGGCTGAACTACAAGCCAAAGGTCAACTAAAAACGTAGATAATAAAACTTATAATCTGAAATCCAACACAGTACCAGAAAAGGAAAGAAGGGGAGGGGGGTGGGGAGGGGAAGGGAGGAAATAATCAGAAGGAAAAAACAAACACCACAGAAATGAGAGAATACACGCCAAGCAGTTGTGCATTCTGAGACATCGGCACTACTTTCACAAAATTTGACACCATACATGAGTCGCAGAATAATATTAACAACTTCATCTTCTCCAACAAACAGCCAACAAACTGAGATTTGGCTTAAATTGAAAAATTAAAAATCTATGACACAAATTGGAGACTTTTCTTTACCCAAAAAGCATGTTCAAGTTTATGTATTAATAAAAGAAAGAAATCAACTAAATGCATCTCACCTAATACTCCAAGAAGTGGAGCGGCGGCAGAGGAGGAGGACCGGTGGTGGCTCCAGTGCAGTGGTCCAGCGAGGGTGAGAGAAAAAGCTTAAACCGAGATTACCAAATACTCCAGTAGTGCACAGGATATAGCTTTTAATGGTCACAAAACCAGGATAACTTTCCAATAAGACTGGAAATTTTCACTCAGAAGACTACATAGATAATATAGTATTACAGACCATGGTTTTTCGAATTCAAAACTGTCATCAAAGATCCTCTGCAACATATAACACAGTATTTTGCATAGTAAGGATGCTACGTGCGAATCAAGTAAAAAACTGTCCACCATTGAGAAACTTAATTTAACCAAGACAAACGAAACTCACAGTTTGAGGGTAACAGTCACAATAATTCAACACTCACTAAGTACACGAAGCAACATACATGAAAATCCTCATAAAACAGTAGAAGTATAGAATACAAAATTACACTACCCACAAGATTTTAGAAGCAATGTTACACACACTGTTCTCCACATGTTTGTGAAAAGGATAGGCAGCACCCCGCCTCCAATTTCAGCCTTGGACACTCATCAAAAGGAGTTCATTTCAAGGCAATAAGTCCTCCTCTTCACCAACATCCTCACAGCAGTCCCAAACGGCTCGTCAAAGGCCGACGAAACCCAATCACCCTCCGAGCCCATCACCTCCTTCTTGGGCTGCTCGCTGGGCCTAATCGCAACTAAAGTCGCCCCCTTTAATATCACACCATTCGGCAACTCGAGATGGGACGCATACCACAACCGCATATTCAAAGCCGGCACAAGTGTCCTTTTTGATGCTGAAGATGCTGACAAGGGTTTCACCCTCAGCTCCTCTAACTGCTCTTTATTCATAGACAAAACCCCCTGCCCATCCGCATCTGTCAATACCAAATTCTCCAATGTCTTGTGCTCCGCTATAATAGGCTGCAGCAGATAATGTCTGGCTGAGGCAGCTATTAAGGAGCTTATAGTCCATACAACTCTCAATTTTAACCCTCCGTTTGTGTAAAATGACTCGGGTATGCTTCCGTTATCATCATCTACCCCACTATTAGCGCTGTTGTTGTTGTTGTTGTTGTTGTTAACAACACAATCATTGCTATTACAACTACTCATACACTTAACAGCAATACCCGTGTTCTGAATGACACTTGAGGCTCCAAGAATAATGCATCTATCAAGAGTCGAACCAAAGTTAGCCTTCCACTTTAGCAGAACACCATCATCAATCCCTAATTCCCCGCTGGGAAGCTCTATTCTGAGAAGCTTTATCTCATTGAAATTCTTCAATACCTGAGTAGGCGAATGGTGAGTGACGATGCTCGGCTCTGTCTCGCCGTCGAAGTCAGGCAGAGTCAATCGACGGGACGGATGGGTGATAAGCTGAGACAGGGACTGCAAGGGCTTCAGGAGTCCGGAGAAAAGGACGCGGAAGAGGGAGGAGATCGGGTGGCGCGACCTGTCGGAGCCGCCGGAGGCGGCAGCAGACGAGGAGGTCGCCGATGGGTCGTCGTCGGAGATGACGCAGTCCACGCGGACTACGACGTTGTCGACCTGGGGAACGAGATCGTGAAATCGCCTGGAAACGACGCAGCAGCGGCCGAGGGCCTTGACATCGCCGATCTGGTTGAAGATCAGGAGGATGACGGAGTCCGGCAGCCGGTCGAAGTGGTCGATGGGCTCCGGGAAGATTCTTCCTCTCAGATCCGAGCGAATCGAACCCATCTTATCCTAAAAAGAAGAAATTGTTACAGCACGAATCGAAAAGGGTTTGGATGCAAATACTCCAAAGGCAGAGCTTAAGAAACCGCTGTGGATCTGAAAGATGAAAAATCTATGGGAGATTGAATTGTTTTGGAAGTTATGCAGAGGATTTATGGTGCGGCTACCTGTTGAGGAAAGTGATGAGTCGAGGTGAAAAAGGATGAGAGGGTTGTGGGTGAAAATATTTAAGGGGTTTTAATGACAAGGTATTATTGTTAAGTAAAAAGTCACATGTCAAATTTGTATTTATTACTTAACTTATTTTAAAAAATGTTGATATTATTGGTTCATTTTGATTATTTAATTCCTTGGGCAACTAATATATGATTATATTAATAGTCTTTTATTTGATTTTGCATTTTATGATTAGAATTAAATAAAAACATTAATTAATTAATTATATAGATATTGTGGCTAACTAAGGTTATGTTTGGTAACCAAATAAGGTAGCTTATTTGGTAATTAGCTTATAAGCTCTCTGTATTCAAATAAACTTCGTTTAGTAGGACGAGTTTTTTTTAAAAAGTTCGAGTTTATCTAACTAAGTTTCTTTAGGTAGTTTTTCAAATAAGTCTGTTGAAATTTTTACTTCAACTAGCTTAATTATTAGCTAATTTTACCAAACACTTTTATCATATAAGCTAACTTTTTAAATATAAGTTTTAAGCTAGAAGCTCGAAAATCATTTATAAGTTATAAGTTAGCTTATTACATAGTTTTACCAAACATAACATAATTGTTACGGTGAGTTGGTTTTCTTAATTAGGGCATGAGACAAAACGACATTAGAACGTCACACATGAATGCAATAAGATGTAAACAATGAGGAGCAACTAAGGGTGCAATTGGTTATAAAATAAATCAATTATTTTTTAGCAGATAATTTTTTTACGACTTTTTGACTTAAAATTTAATTTAAAATTAATTTAATTCAAATTATCTCAATGTTATCCACATAATTATATAATACAAATTAATCATTGCCCGAAATTATTTCTGAACAATTAAGTCTGTACTGGAACCTTGCTCTGATACCATGTAAGATTTAAAGAATTGGGGCATCAGAGTTGCGATCTCACGCAGTGAAGCACACTAAAAGAGGATGGGCCTAGTTGCACTTTAGTAAGGTTACATCCCAAAACCTCTTATGGTGCGCTTCACTTGTGGGACCGCACCCCGGATGCCCCGATTATCAAAATTTGACAAATTTTAATCAATTATTCACCACCTCACATAATTTTATTTTAAATCACATAATTCTAACTTACCTATCATTTCCCATAATAACTACATACTTATATATGGGTAAATTCCATTGTAGAACTTGATTTGCCTGAATTTGTAACTTTCTTAATTGAGAGTTTCAATTTTATGTTATTCCCAATTGAAGACCTACTTTTACATTATCGTTATCAATTTAAGAATCCAATTAACTTTATATTTTGACATAATTTTATAATTTATAATACTATTATTTATAAATTTATATTTCAAATATTTATAATAAAAAATATTAAATATCTTTAGTAAAATTACTTTATAAGAAAATTAATTCATATAATTTACATTTATGTAAAGGAATAATGAAATTTGTTTTAAAAGTTAAAAAAATTTGAAAACATATAAATAAAAATTACCCGACCAGACCTATTTAAATCTTAATTTTTGTTATTAAAAACACTATTCTCCATATAAATAAAAATGAATATCAAATTTTTTGAATTTATATTAATTATTACACCAATTAATTTAGGTATTTGTCTGCTTTAAATTACCTAAATATTTAATATATATATATATATTGTTGGGATCTGTGAGGATCTCGTTATGTACAAATCACGAATTCAATAGCAAACGTAAACCTATGCGCAGCGGATCTAAAGGTTTGACGTAGAGAACTTACGGCTTAAAATTTATGTAGATCTGGTTGACCACGAACGGTTGACCGCAATTGATTGACCGCAACACGCGTCTTGGGTTGCACGAACAAGATCAGATCAAAACTGGATCAAACGGATGCAAACAGATCAAAACGAAATTTTGCTGCCAGACACCTTCCGGCGCCGCGTGAGGGCGCGTGCGGCGTCGGATTCCGGCGACGTCGGCGGCGATGGAAAGCTCTCGTCGAGACGGTCGTCTGGGTATACTGTACGTCTCAATCGGACTTCTGGTTAGTTCTGTAGGTCAAAATCAATTTCGTCTCTGTTTACCTACAGATCTTCTACTGTATTACTCAATACACCCTTCTTCAACTTGTACCAGTGGAGCAACAAGAAGAAGATAAAGCTCGAATGAGATCTAGAGAGAGAGACGTGTTTCACGTGAGATGTGAACTCTCATATCTTCTCATGAGGTTAAGGATGTATATATAGAGCTACAGTAGGGACCCTAAGGAGATTAGGAAAAGGGCTCCTTAATTAATTAGACTAACTGTGGGCCAAACCCACTCCTCTAATTAATTAAATAATATTAATGGGCCACCAACATTATATTATTGCACTCCCTTTCCCTAGCCCAAATTACATTTGAGACTCCAATAATAATTACTCGATTTACCTCCCCACGTTTAAGATATAATGTCCATTAATTAATTCGATTACTGACAATCAAGAATTAATTAATTTATTATTATTTCACCGAAGCTAGCGCTCGTTCATCACATTCTTATTATGCCGGAATTTAATCCACCTGCAGGGTTTAGCATAACAATCCTTCATGAACTCACTCCGGGGACATCATCAAACTAACGCACATGGTGACCGTAAATATCCTAACAGCACATCCTATATATAATAATATTACCCAAAACAGTAGGAATATTAATCCAGCGAACTGAACCTCACCCATGTGAATCAAAGTAATATATATTATATATATCTGCCTGTTTAATATCTTACGGGTTAAGAGAACGCAGTAATTAACCGAGGCCTAGTTCATTTACGACGATCAGTATAAAATGAACTTCTCCTCTCTGGGATCCTGTTCAATACATAAATGTACTAGTGCAACTAATCAGTCAAGACAAACTGTACAGTTGACACTACAACCGTTCGGATGGGGTGTTCATGTCCATCTAGGTTGTGAACAACTATTCTTGTTCGCAAGTGACTGATAGAGTGATCTTCGGTTCGCCCGATGACGACCCACCCTATCTAAGTGCAGAACAACAGAACGTAGAACTTGTTTAATCTAACATGATTCTCATTCATAAAGGGTAAATGTGTAATAACATGCAAAGCCAAGCTTTCAGTATATAACACTAACAATCTCCCACTTATACTTAAAGCTTTCGCTTTTACAGTATAGTCCTATCAATCCGTTATTCTAAAAGACCTATGTCGATCCTATTGCCATGCATCCTCTGATGCAATCTTGGCAACATCAACGTCTCCTCTACCAACGATATCCCGAATCAGATGGTATTTGCGCTCTATGTGTTTGCTTGCCCTGTGGGCTCGAGGTTCTTTTGAGTTCGCTACTGCTCCACTGTTATCACAGTACACGGTGATACCACGTGGCAAACTCGGTATAACCTCTAAGTCCACTAAGAAGTTCCTGAGCCAAACTGCCTCTTTCGCTGCCTCTGAGGCTGCTATGTACTCGGCTTCCATGGTGGAGTCTGCCACGCATTTCTGCTTAGCACTCCTCCATGAAATGGCTCCACTTCCCAAGGTAAACACATAACCTGAGGTTGACTTACTTTCATCCCTATCTGACTGGAAATCAGAATCACTGTAACCCAGAGGTAACAAGCTGTCTGCACGGTAAACTAACATGTACTCCTTAGTCCTTCTCAGGTACTTGAGTATATGCTTCACCGCAGACCAATGTTCCCGTCCTGGATTACTTTGATATCTAGCTACCATGCCAACGGCGTAGCTAATATCCGGCCTTGTGCATAGCATTGCATACATGAGACTTCCTACTGCCGAAGCATAAGGAACTGTCTTCATCTCCTCTATCTCCTTAGACGTCTTAGGAGACATCTCCTTAGATAAAGGTATTCCATGTCTAAAAGGTAACATACCTTTCTTGGAATCCTGCATGCTAAATCTGGCCAAGACAGTATCTATGTATGAAGACTGGGATAAGCACAACATTCTCTTCTTACGATCTCTAATGAGCCTAATACCAAGAATGTGTCCTGCTTCACCTAAGTCCTTCATATCAAACTGCTTAGACAACCACACCTTTACGTCTGATAACTCCTTCTTACTGTTTCCAATAAGCAGTATGTCATCTACGTAAAGCACAAGAAACACCACCACGCTCCCACTGATTTTCTTGTAAACACAATGCTCATCCGGACATTGAGTGAACCCGTACGACTGGATCACCTCATCAAAACGGATGTTCCAAGATCTCGAAGCTTGCTTCAGTCCATAAATAGACCGATTAAGCTTACACACTAGATGCTCACGACCTTCAGCAATGAATCCCTCTGGTTGCTGCATATAGATGTCTTCTTGCAGGTTCCCATTAAGGAAAGCTGTCTTGACATCCATCTGCCAGACCTCATAGTCCATATGAGCGGCTACAGCCAAGAGAATCCGAATGGACTTAAGCATAGCTACTGGCGAAAAGGTCTCATCATAATCAATACCCTCGATCTGGGTATAACCTTTCGCAACAAGCCTAGCTTTAAAGGTTTGCACCTTCCCATCCAATCCTCTCTTTCTCTTATAGATCCACTTACATCCAATGGGTCGTACCCCATCGGGTAGTTCTACAAGATCCCAGACCTGATTGGAGTCCATTGACCCCATTTCAGCTTTCATTGCAACATTCCATGAATCTGCATCTTTATCTTGGAGTGCCTCATCGTAAGTTCTTGGGTCCGATTCTAGGCCTCCTGGAACTGAGTCTGACGACTCTCCAAGACCTATCCATCGGTCGGGTAAATGAGAAACCCTCCCACTGCGACGAGGCACTGTCTGCACTGGTACACTCTCAGTGTGTCG